TTTTTTTAAAAATCTGTATTAATTATTGGATTTATATATTTTTTCTATATGAAGACTTTTGCCATATTGTCCTTTTTGTTCAATGTTAATTTATCTGTATCAACATTCTCTAGGCTAGTATTTACCTGGCAAATCTTTCTCTTTTCTACACTGACATTATTTCTGTGTTGTATCTTAGATTATCTCTTATAAATTGTATATGGTTTTGAAAAATCCAATCTAATAATCTCTTTTCATAGCTAATTTATTCTATTAGTATTAATTTTGACTACTGATAAATTATTTTTCTGCCAACTTCTTTTTAAATTTCTCTTTATCTTATTTTTTCAATACCTCTTTTTTCTCCTTCCCTACTCTCCAGTGATTGTATTAACTTTTCTTTAGTTTCTATCTCTTCTCTACTAGTAATTAAGTATTTTATCTTCATACTTTTAATGATTAATCTCAAATTTGAACATTCAACAGTTGACTAGAATTTGTAATTTCTACCATACAGTACAAGAAATGTAGAACCTTTATCTCTAATCTTGTCCTTCTGTCTTTTATATTATTATTATCAAGTATTTCAGTTGTTTTCTCCTAATATTTTTGCAATTAACTCTTCATATTGTTTTATACAATTAATACTTGTTTAGATTTACTCACGTTTACCAATTTATTTGCTCATCATTCTTTCCCATATCTCAGTACTTCTTTCTGCATTTAATTTTCATTATTTCTAAAGATCTTTTGATCCTTTGTTCAGCAAGGATTATAGTGTACTTAGTATTAATATTGCACAACTTCATGTAAAACGCAATAACCTTCTAACTGTTTACCACCCTCCCATCTTTTATGCTGAGTATCATATGTATTGCATCTATTATACATACATTATAAACTCATAACAGTGCTATAAATTTTAAGCTAATAAGAGGAAAGCTAGTATTTTATATGTACCTAGATGTTTATCTTCCTTTGCTCTTTATTCTTTCCTGAAGATCTAGCTTTCCAGCCCAAATTATTTCTCTTTAGCCCAAAAAACTTTATTTAGCTATTCTCCTACTGTAGGTATTTTGGCAATGAATTCTGTTTTCTTTATTTAAAGTGTTTTTACATTGAATATAGAATTCCGGGTTGACAAGTTGTGTTTTGTTTTGTTTTCTCACTTTACAATTGCTCTGCAGGCTTTAATAATGTCTAAGAAAATAACCATTATTAGTCATTCCAAATGTTATTCCCCTGTATGTAGCTGTTTCTTTTCTGTCTGCTTTCAACATTTTCTTTTAATCTTTGGTTTTCAACAGCTTGATTATTATGTACCTAAGTGTGGTTTCGATGTATTTATCCTGCTTGGATAAATAAATTAAGCATCTATAATCTGCATGTTTCACCAAATTTGGGAGATTTGGAGCCACTAAATATATCTTCAAATATTTGTTTTACCCCACTTTTTCTATCCTCTCCTTCTGCAATTCCAATTACTTGTATGTTAGACTTCTCGTTATTAACTCACGAGTCCCTAAACTCTGTCCATTTTGTAAAATTTTAAAAATCTTTCGGCTTTATGTTTTTTATTTGATACATCTTCAAGTTCACAGTTTTTTTCTGCCATCTTTGTTCTTCTATTAAGTACTTTCAGTGAAGTTTTAATTTTGGATGTTATATTTTTCAACTCAGGAATTTGTTTTCTTTATCAAAATTTTCTGTTTGGTGGTATTTCCTTTTTTCATTTATTACAGCGTATTTTTCTTCTTCATGTATAGTTATAATAACTGCTTTAACATCTTTGGCAATTCTGACATTTTGGTAATATTGGAATTGGTTTCAATCATCTTTTTTCTTGAGACTGAATCACATTTTCCTGTTTTTGTATATAATCCAAGTAATTTGGATTATATTGTAGACAGTGTGGATGTTATCTTCTGGGTTCTGATACATTCCCCTAAAGAATGCTGAGGGTTTTTTGTTGTTGGTGGTGGTTTTTTTTTTGTTTGTTTGTTTGTTTTTGTTTTTTTTCCCCCACACAACCTGTTTGGATTAAAACAGAAAATTATGTCTTTTTTTATTTTTTTATTTTTTTCAGGCCAAATCTTGGTTTTGTTCTATTATCTCTAGCTGGGCTATTTGCAGTCTGCCCCATGTATGTATCTCTCAGGGATGAGCCAGAGGTTTGTTCAGAGGTGGGTTTCATTTTTGTTTTTTGTTTTTTTGTTTATGAGACAGGGTCTCCCTCTCTTGCCCAGGGTGGAGTGCAGTAACACAATCATAGCTCACAGCAGCCCCAAACTCCTAGGCTCAAGTGATCACTCATCTCAGCCTCCCAAGTAGCTGAGACTACAGGCTACACACCACCATGCCTGACTAATTTTAAAATTTTTTGTAGAGATGAGGTCTTACTATATTGTTAGGTGGGTCTTAACTGCTGGCCTCAAGTGGCCCTTCCTCCTTGGCCTCCCAAAGTACTGGGATTACAGACATAAGCCATCATGCCTGGCTTGTTCAAAGCTTTTACTGTGATTTTAGAGTTTGTCTTTCTGACTTTTTTTTCATCTGGGACCCCACCCAAATGCTGTCACTTGACTTCTCAAAGTCTTGATATTCTCACCTGTAAAATAAAACCTCTTATACAGTATGAGAATACTAAAATGAAAGTCTTCCCAGGATACCAGTACACCAGGCATCAAGTTCCAAACTAACTGTGAGTTAGAAACCATTTGCAGATTTTGCAAGGGGCATGTTTCACATTAGATGAATGTCTCTCAGCTTTTGAATCAGATCAAGGACAATAAATAAGGTCAGGGACTGAAGAGAAAAAACTGCTGAAGCTGACTCTAGAAAGAACTATTGCCTTGGTTCTTATGGGAGAAGGGCAGCAGAAGCAATCCTCCTCAACTCAAAGCTAGGAAGGCAGGCTTCAATGGAGCTTGAATGTGTTTGCTGTCCTTAGAAGACACAAAGGACTGGTGCTTGACTCATGCTTGAGGAAGCAAAAGGGGGCTGTGATGAGAAGATAGAATGACTTGATTGGGATCAGTCTGCACTTCCAGAGTTATTGGGGTAAAGGATGTGTAATTGTTTCCCGTAAACCATATGTGGCCCTGAGAGAGAGAGAGGTGAAACCAGTGTGGGGTCATTTTGGGTCCTGTCCAGTAGAGTGATCTGGAAGAACAAAGGACCCCTAACAGCAGGGAGAAGAAAGAGGTGAACTCCAGATTCATAGAACCTAAGGAAGGAGTAGCAAGTGACCACTCAGAGTAGAGAAGCATCTGCTTAGGTCAAGATATATCTACAAAAGAGAGGGTCCCGGTAATCAGAATCTCTAGAGAAGCTACATCAGTGCCCAAGGGAAGAAGAGAAGTTAGTTCTTCTGCCCTGTAGCACCATGGTGAAGGCCACTCCACCAGGTAGGAACATCCTTGCCCCTCTATCCCTGCTGCCTTATTCCTTGTGGAGATACAACCACTTGGGTGCTGGTAAGGAGGTGAGCAGAGAGAGCTCAAAGGTGAATCACTCTTTTTCATTACTCTCAACAAAGGGAAAAACCTTATGAATGAAGTTGGAAACATTTTAACTCATATATATGTAATGTATATATTATATATACATATATACACATATGTGTGTGTGTGTGTGTGTGTGTGTATATATATATATTTAGACGGAGTCTTGCTCTGCTGCCCAGGCTGGAGTACAGTGGTGCGATCTTGGCTCACTGCAGCCTCCATCTCCCGGGTTCAAGTTCCCAAGTGACTGGGACTACAGGGGCGCGCTGCCACACTTGGCTAATTTTTTTGTATTTTTAGTAGAGACAGGGTTTCACCATGTCAGCCAGGTTGGTCTCAAACTCCTGACTTCAGGTGATCTGCCCACCTCAGCTTCCCAAAGTGTTGGGATTACAGGCATGAGCCACCTCACCTGGTAGTTATATTCTAAATGCTACTCTGAGGCCGTATTTGTAGCGATAGTAGGACTATGTTCCCAAGAATGAATAGAAAAGTCATGGGATTTTGTCATTTCCATTCAGAGCAGGGGAAGATTACATAGAGAATACATTTTTTTTTAGATCTCTCTTTTTTTCTTCTTTTAAGTTTTTGAAGAGATAGAGTCTCACTATATTGTCCAGGCTGGTTTCAAACTCCTGGGCTCACCTGATTCACCCACCTTACCCTCCCAAAGTATTGGGATTACAGGTGGGAGCCCTAGTGAATACATTTTAAATAGATGGGGGTAGATAAAAATGCACTGTGTTTTGATTATTACAAATGGTTCTTAGTCAACATGCTGGTTACATATTTAAATGCTTGTGCTAGTGGATTCTCAGCAAATGATGATTCTTGCCTCTCTTTTCTGATCTGAAATCCACATCTTGAGAACTATACCTTTTGAGGTATGACAGAAGGCCAATATTAACACAGATATTTTCTTCTGTGTGGGAAGAAACTGCTAGGAAACTCTTGTCTTTTAGTCCATCAGCGTATCTTAGTTTGGCAAATTAATTGTCACTTTGAAAGCCTGGTCACCTAGGATGGAATTACTGGAATTCCACAATGCATACAATCATCTTAAAAATCAGGACAGACCTCTGACCAGGAACCCAGCTTATATGTCCAGAACCAGAGAATGTGTTGGAATCTTTACACAGAGGACCTTTACTCTCTATAATAATGTACATTTTTTCCATTTTTTATTTAATATGTGTGTGTGTGTATATATATATATTTAACTTTTAGGTTTAGGGGTACATATGCAGGTTTGTTACATAGGTAAACTCATGTCACAGGGGTTTGTTGTACAGATTATTTCATCACCCAGATACTAACGCTAGTTCCCATTAGTTATTTTCCCTGATCCTCTCCCTCCTCCCGCTCACCGCCCTAAGTAGGCCCCAGTGTGTGTTGCTCCCCTCTTTGTGTGCATGGGTTCTCATCATTTCGCTCCCACTTACCAAGTGACAACATGCAGTATTTGGTTTTCTGTTCCTACGTTAGTTTGCTAAGGATAATATTTTCCATTTTTAGATGATGAAATCCCTCCAGGTGGATTTTGGGTTCCTCAAACAATTGCTTCAGTTGAAGTTTGAGGACCGACTGAAAGAGGAATCTTTGAGTCTCTTCAACATTCTACATGACAGGATCCTAGAAATTGAAAAGCATTATCAACAGGTAAATGTTCTCTTCTTTTGTTTTATGTGTGGGTCGATACTGTGCTAGATGTGTATGCGGTGCAGTTTAGAATTTAGTAACTTGTGAGGGCAGTGTAATTTGCATTAGTTGTATCTTACGTGGTAATTAATACATAGAGCTTCACTATGTGTCAGGGATTTGTGTAAGTATTTAGCATATGAACTGATTTAATTCTCACATTTACCTTACGAAGTAGGCACAATTATTTTCCCTCTTTTACAGATGAGAAAACTGAGGCACAGAAAGGCTAATAACTTGTTCAAGGTCACCAGTTAAAAAACAAGAGAGGCCAAGCACACATGCCTCTAATCCTACCACTTTGGGAAGCCAGGATGGGAGCCTGGCTTGAAGCTGGGGGTTCAAGACCAGCTTGGGCAACATAGTGAGACCCTGTCTTTTCAAAGAATAAAAGCATGAGCCAGATGTGGTGTTGCAGACCTGTAGTCCCCAGCTACTTAGGAGTCTGAGACAGGGGAATCACTCAAGCCCAGGAGTTCAAGGCTTCAGTGAGCTATGATCACACCACTGCACTCTAGCCTGGGTGATAAGTCGAGACCCCCATCTCAGAAAAACAAAAAACAAAACAAATGGACATTACTATTATTTCTGTGCCATAAAAACAAACAAAAACGATCTTTTGCTGACCACACCATGTTAAGTACCATGCTAAGCCTTTAAAATATATTTACCCTTTAAATCTCTCAAAATGTGAAAATGGAACTCCTATTGTCTGTGATTTACAGATCAAGAAACAGCTTGCCAAGGTTAAGTAACTTGCTTAAGGTCAGACAGATAGTAAAGGGCACAATGATATTTAAATTCAATACCATCTGACTCTAAAGCCTATTTGAGGCTGGGAGGCGATGGCTCAGGCCTGTAATCCCAGCACTTTGAAAGGTTGAAGCGGGAGGATAGTCTGAGCCCAGGAGTTCGGGATCAGCCTGGGCAACAAAGCAATACCCCATCTCTACAAAATAAATTTAAAAATAAATTTTTTTTAGAAAAGGATAAAGCCTATTTGTTGTTTGTACTCCATGCTGAGATCAGAATTGATATCAGAATCATGGGTATTTTTTTTTAAATGCACTCTCTTCTATTGTTAATCTAAACTGATCTAATCAAATTATTTGATTAATCAGAAAATAACTCTAGTTTGCAGATTAGCACTATAGATTTCTTTTCATGAGCATATTCCATTCAAAAAGTACAAGGACTAGAAGAAGATAGGCATCACAAATAGACTTTACAACTTTTAAAAGCAGTTTTAGGAAGGCACTAAAAGACTTCACTCAAGTGAAAAATGAAATGAAGTGTTCAAATTATCTGTATATGTTTTATCCATATGATCTCTCTATGGCTTTTGGTTGAATATAAGTAAAAATAAAATGTGTCATAATAGCTACAGGGTGGGAGAAATGATTATGAATTGAAGTTTTCAAGAGATTGTGATGATTCAGATGATGTTTTTTTACTGAGTCCCTCCCTAGTAGGTGTGGGTCATATTTGGAAATACATTATGGTGCTTATTGCGTTTATTTTTATTTGCAGAATGAGGATAAGATGAGAAAATCCTTCAATCAGCAGTTAGCCGATGCCATAGCTGTTATCAAAGGAATGTACCAGGTGAGTTTTTGTTTTTGGTGCTATGGTTGTGGGCAAGGCTAGCTTCAGCTGCTGTGTGCAAGGAGTGTGGATCACCTTGGCTTCCCAGTCTGTGTTTCCAGCTCTGAAGGCCTGTTTCCTCAATTTTCAGGTCACCTTAGAGGGATCAGGCCTAGGACTGTTTATGCTCACATTATAAAGCTTTCTAGAAACTGGAAAATTCTAATCTGGTATTCAGGACACCTGGGCATGTATTAAAGTAATCCAAAGTTTATTTGGTGTGGTCATAGCTGAATAGACGAAGGTCAGATGGTCTTAAGAGAGAGTTCAGAGAATCTGTAGTAAATTCCAGTTGGTGGATTAACTTTTCTAATGACAGGGACATTTTTATCTGCCAGACACATGCTTCATTTTCCTTCACAATGGGAAAATTCCTACCTTTAGTGGTTTTTTTAGACTCAGCAAAGACCTTGTGCTTCGTTTAGCATTTATAACTGTATCCTCACCTTGCATTTCAGTATACTTCCACAAGTACATTTTTTGCATACTTCTTTTTGGGCACTGTTTGCAAGCTTCTTATCATAGCACTCAACACATTCTGTATTTAATTATGTAATTGCTTGTGAAGTGTCTTTGTTCCATGCCAGACTGTCAACCTTAAGGATCTCCTGTGTGTTACTCTCCGCTGTGCCTCTGCCTTTAGCGCTGTGACTGGTACATAATTAACAACCAGCTACTGATTGCTAAATGCATGAATGGTCACCTGTACCTGTGGCAGACAGTGCTGCCGCCTGCTCAAATGTCATTCTCTCCACTGCACATTCTCCCCACTGCTTTTTACTGACAGGGGCACTTCCAACTATAGAAACCAAAATGCTAGATTCTTCCTCTTCCAGCTCCTTTTTAGCTATAGCACAGACATAGGCAAAGTCAGGTCCCTAACCAATGAGACCTGAAGGTGAGTTGGCTGTGAGATTTTGGGGGAGGTTGTACTTTCTAAGTAAAAGGGACTCCTGAAGATATCACCTCACACTGGTCAGAATAGTTATTATTAAAAAGTCAAAAAAATAACAGATGCTGGTGAGGTTGCAGAGACAATGGAACACATGCTTATACACTGCTGATGGGAATGTAAATTAGTTCAGCCACTGTGGAAAGCAGCTTGGAGATTTCTGAAAGAAACTGAAACAGAACTACCATTTGATCAAGCAATCCCTTTGCTGGGTATATATCCAAAGAAAGATAAATCATTCTACCATAAAGACACATGCATGTGTGTGTTCATTGCAGCACTGTTCACAATAGCAAAGACATGAAATCAACCTAGATGCCCATCAACAGTGGACTGGATAAAAAAAAAATGTGGTACATGTACACCATGGAATATTACATAGCCATAAAAAAGAATAAAATCACATCCTTTGCAGTAACATGGAGGGAGCTGGAGGCCACTATCTTAAGCAAATTAATACAGGAACAGAAAACCAAATATTGTGTGTTCTTACTTGTAAGTGGGAGCTAAACATTGAGAACATATGGACACGAAGGGAACAGTAGACATGGGGGCATACTAGAGAGTGAAGGGTGGAGGTTGGAGGAGGGTGAGGATCAAAAAACTACCTATTGAGTACTACGCTTATTACCTGGGTAATGGAATAATCTTACACCAAACCCCTGTGACATGCAATTTACCCATGTAATAAACCTGTACATGTACCCTCTGAATCTAAAACAAAAATTGGAAAGGAAAAAAAAGGGTCTCATGGAAGACCCTTTCTATTTCTTTGCTTGATATTTTATGTCTCCTTCTGATGCTTGGAATTGCCGCGGCCACTGTGAAACCAAACATTGAGATACTCTGGATTTGCTGAGGTAGCAAGGTAGAAAGATGAGAGGCAGAGGGGTCCTTGGTAATGTCATTGAGCCATGAAAGTAACCCTGGACTTGCCCTGCCTCAGGCCTCTTAAATTCATGAGATAACAACCCCTCAGTGTCGAAGCCACTGTTAGTTGACTTTTCAGGTACTTGCAGCTGAAAACATCACAGGACATATTGCTCTGCTAATGATCTCTGTGACTCTGTGCCAAACTGTGTTTCCAAAAGCACCTGTGACTCTCTCTCCCACTTACCTGCTTTTGTGCAACATTACCTCGCTTCTCTGCCATCAAGAGGTGGAATCTGATTCCCCTCCCTTGAATCAGGGCTGCCTTAGTGACTTGCTGATAAGCACAGAATGTGGAGGAAGTGAAGCTGTGTGACTTTATAAGTTAAGGTCGAAAGAAGTCTTGCAAGTTCATCCTTATTCTCTCTGAATGTTTGCCCTCTAGATTGTCCTTCCCTGAATTCAGCTACCATGCTGACAAAAGCCCATGCCATATGGAAGATCTACATGTAGGTACTACTGGGTCTCCAGGCTCATCTCAGCCCCTCCTTTGAGTCACCCCAGCCTAGGAGTCAAAACTATGAGTGGAGAAGCCTCCAGATGACTCGAGCTACCAGCCATGTAGAGTCTTTTTATGGAGGAGAGATAAGCCATCCCTGCTATGCTTCTACTAATTCCCGACTCATTGAATTTGTTTTTTTTCTTTGTTTTGCTTTTTATTTTGGGGTCTTTTTTTTTTTTTAGAGACAGGGGTCTCACTGTCTCCCAGGCTGGAATGTAGGGTGTGCTCATAGCTCACTGTAGCCTTAAACTTCTGGACTCAAGTGATCCTCTCGCCACAGCCTCCTGAGTAGCTGGGACTACAGGCATGTGCCAGCACACCCAGTTAATTAAAAAATATATATATATATACACACACATACACACACACACACACACATATAGTAGACATGGGATCTTGCTATGTTATCCGGGCTGGTCTTGAACTCCTATCCTCAAGTAATCCTCCTGCCTTAGCATTCCAGAGTGCTAAGATTACAACCATGAGCCACTGTGCTGGCCTAATTAATATTTAATGGAAGAAGACAGAAGGAAGAAAGAGAAAGAGAGAAGGAGGGAAAATGAGTATTATCTGTAGCAGTTTTATATATATTGATTTTGTAACCAAACATCTTGCTAAATTCTTGTGTTTGTTTTAATAATTTTTCTATAGACTCTTTGGGGGCTTTCTATGTAAACAGTTATGCAATTGAGAATACATATTTTTGTCACTTCATTTTTCATCCCTAAACCATGTAATCATTTCAGCAGTGCCCTGTCTGGAGCAGCTGCTGCAAAGATGCTGGATGCAGCAGGGGAGACATGGCCAGGGTTGTACACTCTACTAAGCCGGCAGGAGCCAAGAACAAGCAGGAATGGTGCCCACCTTCTGAGTTGGTGATGGGGGAGCTCCATGCTCCTAGAGGCAGCTGCAGCTGCCCAGCCATGGCTGCAGACCCAGGGATCCCTGTGCTCTTGGGGGCCCAGGAAGCCCCCCTGCCCCCACAGGCTCAGAAGTGCCTGCTTCTGCTGCCTGGCCTTTCCTTATTCCTGGCACCCACTCTTATTTTGGAGCAAAGTTGTGGCCAAGCCCGGGCACTGTCATGACCTGGCCAGGTGTGTGTGTGCTTGGGATGGTGCTGACACACCAGGGCCCTGCTGCCTTGGCGCCCTCCAGACTTTGGGTGCCAACGAGCACAGGACGGAGGCCACGGGGGCACTGAGGGTGGCACAGCACAGGCCTGCAGGTGTCCCTTGGCATGAACAGCCTGGGCACCATGAACAGCAGCAGGAAGTGACAGGCTCCTGAGTGGAAAGGGATGTGTCACTGGTGAAGCCCCACCTTCAAGCCAGGGATGGCCTGAAGCCTGGAGTCCAGGCTGCCAGTTCCACAGACTGGAGTGAGAACTTATGGTGCTTTTTTCAGGCCCGCCTGTGGCTGCACATTGACCAATCAGCATGCACTTCCTCCCCTCTGAAGCCCATAAAAACCCTAGACTCAGCCAGACTCTGGCAGAGGTCGGGATGACCTGCCTGCAGAGAGGAGTTATTCACTGTGGGGTCTTCTCTCAGCTGAGAGCTGAACAGATATCAGGATGACCTGCCTGCAGAAAGGAGCTACCCCTGTGGGTCTCCTCTCAGCTAGGAGCTGAGCAGATGCCGGGATGACCTGCTTGCAGAAAGGAGCTACCCACTTCAGATCTCCTGAGAGCTGTACTGTTGCTGAATAAAGTACCTTTTTGCATTACTCACCCTCCAATAGTCTGCATATCTCATTCTTCCTGCATGTGGGACAAGAACTCAGGACTCACCAAATGGTGGGACTGAAAAAGCTATAAGGCAAATAGGGCTGAAACACACCCCTCACTCACCACACAGCAGGCAACAAGAAGGAGAGAAGAGCTGCAGCCCTTGGGGAAGCCCAGACCTAGAAGCTCCCTGAGCCAGTGTTGTGACACCCTCTTTGGGGCTCTGCAGTTCCTGGTGTCTCCAAGCTTCCAGGCACCACTGTGTTCCCCAGTGCCAGCAGTGGAAGCCACTTGTGGTATACCTGGTCCAGCTGCAGCCTTGAAGGGAGCTGACGCCCTTGCCGGCACCTGGAACTGCCCATCCCGCTGCAGCTGGCATGCCTAGCTGTGTGTAGTGGCTGGACCCTGCACTCACTCATGCAACCCTTGTCACTGTGCACCTGGCTTGCCCTTGGCAGGCATGGGATCCAGGCTGGTAGCATGAGCTGAGCACAGCCTGCCAGGTCAAGCGGGTGGAATGAGCCTAGCAGGCCTGAGCAAAACTCAGGCAAAAGTGCCACTGACCACAGAGGTTTCTGGCTGGCAAAGCAACACCCCAAGGATCCTGTGGCAGCATGGTGGCACATGCTTGTAGTCCTGGCTACTGAGGAAGCTGAGGTGGGAGGACTGCTTGAACCCAGGAGTCTAATGTGAATGAGCCATGATTGTGCCAGTACACTGCAGCCTGAGTGACATAGCATGACCTTGTCTCTAAAAGAAAAAAAAAAAAGATGCATTTAATCTATGTTATCCAGTATTATTCTTGTTTATAATGAGAGAATAAGTCAGAATTTCGTGGTTTTTAAAAACAT